TGCGCAAGGGGAAGACCGTGGTGTAACGCGTGTAGTCGTCGACGACCAGCAGGAAGTACCGCTCGTGGCCCTGTCCACGGACGCGGGCTGGGCCCCACACGTCCAGGTGGAGAGTCTGCAGAGGAGCCTCTGTGGGAGGGAACGAGGAGGAGTGAGGAGCGGCGCGCTGCTGCCCCTCGACGCAAGGAATGCAGGGCAGCGCAGGCGAGGGAGGTAGGGCAGGCAGAGACCTGGGAAGACCAGAAACCAGGGAGCGAGAGTGCATGCTACGAAGGCGAGGCAGGGAGGGGTGACCAAGGCGGTGGTGCCACAGGAGAGTGTCGTGCGACAAAGCGCGACACTCGCAGGGGGCCGCCAGCTGACCAGACACAGACGCAGACGCAGCTACCTGAGGGGACTCAGTGGTGAGTGTGTACAGACTCGAGCCAGGCGCACGGGTAAACGTGGCCAGGTGTCGGCCCGTCCGAGCACACGTATAGTGAGTCACTCGCTGACTCGCAGGAGTGAACTGGTGAACCCCCCCATCCTGGAGGTCAGCTCCACTCACCAAGTTCGTAGAGAATGAGGGGAGGTAAAGACCTGACAGCGAGCCAGACGGGGCGGCCGGACACGGCAGAACCGTGGAGTAGTGGGCAAGGACAGGACCCCCATGTCGTGATAATAGGTATACTGAGGAGCCATAGCTAGGGTTGACCTAGCTAGGCAAGAGAGAATGAAGGCAAAAGAGAGCTGAACTAGCAAGAATGGGGATACAAATAGCAAACCCTAGAAGGGTTGTACTCGCTACAGAGCACCCCACTACAGGCTAGAGCATAATATTCTGACACACCCCCATAGCCAAAGTGGGGTGTAATCAGCAGAGGAAACAAAGCAGTACAAGCTCAGGGTGGATCACGATGTCACCACACATTCTGAGCACAAGCAAGAAGCAATAGTTTAAGGTGCACAATTATGAGCAAAGCTAGAGGCAGTCACAAAAGGGGCAAGTGAGGAGGAGGAGGCGAGACTGTAGGTGGAGAGGAGATAAGAGGCGTCGGCTGAAGCTGCAGACACACGGGCAACAGGAGTCAAACTGGCTCAGTGGCTACCGGAACAAGCGCCCCGGACTACAGGAGTAACTGGCTCCGCGGCTAAGAAGAGCGGCAGACGAGCAACGGACCCACGGGCGACTGGCGCAGCTGGCTACGACTGGGCTACCGGAACAAGCGCCCCGGACTACAGGTGCTGCTGACGACAAGACGGCAGCCTCCGCTCAACCTCCCCCGACTGTCCCACCCCCCTCTCACACACCCCCTGCTGGAACCCTAGCTCCACTCCGACGGTACCCCCCTTAGACCCCAAACCCTAGGCTCCCACACACCACCCCCCTCAGCGGCAGCTGTAGCAGAGGGAGACGAGGGAGGAGGAGGAGCAGGGAACGGCACACTGAAGCTGCACCCCCATACCCCCCACCCCAAACCCTAATCCAGGAGAACGGGCAGAAGGAGGGGTGGGGCGCCTTCAGAAGCACGGGGGACAGCGGGGAGGACAGGGGAAGCGAAGAACGGGCCGCCCACGGGCCTGGCACCGCCTCCCGAACCGCGCGCAGGCGGTCCGAGCCGCGCGCGGGCCTGGCGCAGCCCGTACGGGCCGCGCGCGTGCCTGGCGCAGCCCGTACGGGCCGCGCGCGGGCCTGGCGCAGCCCGTACGGGCCGCGCGCAGGCCTGGCGCAGCCCGTACGGGCCGCGTGCCGGGTGTACGGGCCGCGTGCAGGCCACGACGGGCGACGGGGGGCGACGCGCGGGTCCCCGTCGCCCGTCGCAGCGCCTCCCGGGGGCGACGTGCCGAGTGACGGGGCAGGAACCCGTCGCGCGCCTCGGGGCACACGGCGGGCAGAGAACCGCCGCGCGCCTCGGGGCGCACGGCGGGCAGAAAACCGCCGCGCGCCTCGGGGCGCACGGCGGGCTGAAAACCCTAGTTTCGACGCCGCGCACCACGGGGCGCGCGGCGGACAGGGAGTAGCAGTAGCAGCGGAAGCAGTGAAGTGGGCCCACAGGCCAGGAACGTTAAGCTCTAATACCATGTCGTGATAATAGGTATACTGAGGAGCCATAGCTAGGGTTGACCTAGCTAGGCAAGAGAGAATGAAGGCAAAAGAGAGCTGAACTAGCAAGAATGGGGATACAAATAGCAAACCCTAGAAGGGTTGTACTCGCTACAGAGCACCCCACTACAGGCTAGAGCATAATATTCTGACACCCCAGAGGGGTCCGCCAGGGAGACTGCAACTGGCCGACTAAGCGGCGTGAGTGTGGTGCAGTCGCGAAAGAAGGAGCGGGAAGCTCCTGAGTCAAGGGTGAAGGTGTGAGAGCAGACTCACCAGCACCTGGAGCCGCAGCCTCACCAGCACCTAGAGCAGGAGACGTACTAGCACCTAGAGCAGCAGCCTCACCAGCACCGAGAGCAGCAGGCTCTATACCAGGGTCAGGCGGTACGCACAGGTAACAGGCACGGTCAGCACTAGTAGGCAATGCATACATGGCAGTGAGAATAGCATCATAGTCAAGAGCAAAGATATCGACCCTCTGTCCAAGCAGCTCCAGCCAGGTGGGGAGCTCAGCCTCGTCGCCAAACACTGTACGCCAGTCGTCGCTCAGACGGGCGAAGCAGCGGGACTGTGTGTGACCAAGCGTCCCGCAAGGCTGACCAACCCGATCACCTGTGCGAATGACGTACTGGCAGCGAACTGTACGCGTAGACCTGCTACACTGAGCGTACCACTCGTGGAGCTGCCGGGACGTAAGTGTCTCGCGTGGACGCCGCTGCAGCTGCAGCTGGCCACTGCCAGACGCTCCCAACTGACCAGCTCCAGGGCGACAGCTACGACGGCTACCGCGACAACCCCAGCTAGTATACCACTCACTAAGCTGCTGGGGCGTGAGAGACTCACGTGAACGTCGCTGGAGCTGCATCTGACCACCTGCCAGTAGCAGTAGCAGCAGCAGTAGCGCGGGCAAGGCAGGCAGGCCGACAGGCAGGCAGGCAGGCAGGCAGGCAGGCAGACAGACAGGCAGGCCGGCAGGCAGGCCGGCAGGCAGGCAGGCAGACAGGCAGGCCGGCAGGCAGGCAGGCAGGCGCTCACCAAAGGCTGGAAGAGCAGGCGCTCGCCGGGCGAGCAGGGTCGGCGCTCGACGGGCGGCGGCCGAGTAGGCGCACGACAGCGGCGACGTCGGGGCCGCAACACCGGCTGCAGAGTAGGGCCGAAGCAGCTGCAGGGCGGGGCCGCTTCAGCGGCAGTTGCAGGGTGGGGCCGCGTCAGCGGCAGGTCGGGGCCGTGGCAGCTGCAGGGCGGGGCCGCATCAGCGGCAGGTCGGGGCCGTGGCAGCTGCAGGGCGGGGCCGCATCAGTGGCACGTCGGGGCCGAGGCAGAGGGACGCGCGCGGCTCGGCGCGGGCTGCGCTGACAGCGCGCTGGGCTGCTGCAGGCCGCGCGCGGCCGCGCTAGGCAGTAGCGGGCCGCTGCGGGCCGCGCGCGGGCCGCGCGAGGCAGTAGCAGGCCGCGCGCGGCTCGGCGCGGGCTGCTGCGGGCCGCGCGCGGGCCTCGCGAGGCAGTAGCAGGGTGCGCGCGGCTCGACGCGGGCTGCGTGGGCTCGGCGCGGGCTGCGCGCGGCAGCAGCGGGCTGCGCGCGGCTCGGTGCGGGCTGCGCGCGGCTCGGTGCGGGCTGCGCGGGCTCGGTATGGGCAGCGCGCGGCAGCAGCGGGCTGCGCGCGGCTCGGCGCGGGCTGCGCGGGCTCGGTGCGGGCAGTGCTCGGCAGCAAGGGGCCTAACGGTCTGCAGGGGCTGTTCGCGGGCCTGAAGGGCGTGTAGGGGCGGCGCGCGGGCCTTACGGGCCTCTAGGGGCAGCGCGCTGGCCTAGGGCAGCAGGAGGCAGCGCTAGGGCTGCTGGACGGCGCGCGTAGTGCAGCACGTCACAAGGCAAGGCAAGGCAGGCAGGTACGTGGGGTAGCGCGGTAACCGCAGCGGTAGGTGGGCCCGAAAAAAAAAAAAACGGTCCTACGGACCTTAGTGCTCTGAAACCATGTCAGAATCTAGCAGCAGGAATGGGTGAACTAGCAGCATGCAGGAGTACAAGTAGTAAACCCTAATTGGGTTGTACCCCATATGGGCTACCCCACTACAGCCTAGACAATATGCAACATATATGTTTGACAGCTGCGCCTCAGCTTGTTCCTCTGCTTCACCACTAGAACATGGGGGAGGTGGTGCGAGGTGCAAGGGAACAACGGCAAGGGGATACAAGCAAGTGCACATGATGAAAGCATGTATGGTGAGGAGTGAGGGGGGGAAGGGGAGGGCATGAAAAGGAAGGGAAGGGTTGAGAAGGGATGGGGAAGGGAAGGGCAGGACAGGGAGGGAAAGGCAGGGATGGGGAGGGCAGGTGGGAACAGGGCAGAGGGTGGGGGAAAGGAGGGCTGGGAGTGGTGGGAAGGAGAGTGAGAGTGCGAGAGGACGGGGAGAGAGAGTGCGGGAAGACTGAGAGAGAGAGTGTGGGAGGACGGAGATTGAGAGTGCAGGTGGAAGGTCAGAGAGAGAGAGTGCAGGAGAAGGGAGAGAGAGGAATGGGTGTGTGAGGGTGGGAAGGAATGTGAGAAGGTGGGAAGGAATGAGAGGGTCGGAAGGAAAGAGAGAGGGTCAGAAGTAATGAGTTAGGGTGGTAAGGAATGAGAGAATCACTGAAGGAATTATATGTGGTTGGGAAGGAATGAGGGAAGGTGCGAAGGAATGAGAGAGGGTGGACGGAACAGAATGAGAAAGGCTGGCCAACGCGCAGGGCCCGCACTTGCGACGGGCATTTTCCCAAGGAGCGAGACTGACGAGCATGGGAAATACGAGCGACGGGGGGAACTGCCAGCGATAGGGAGAGGAAGGACAACTGGGCAGGGAGTGGAAGGACACATGGGCAGGGAGTGGAAGGACACATGGGCAGGGAGTGGAAGGACACATGGGCAGGGAGAGGGAGATTATGGGGGGAAGCAGGGAAGGGGATGGGGGGAAGCAGGGAAGGGGATGGGGGGAAGCAGGGAAGGGGATGGGGGGAAGCAGGGAAGGGGATGGGGGGAAGCAGGGAAGGGGATGGGGGGAAGCAGGGAAGGGGATGGGGGGAAGCAGGGAAGGGGATGGGGGGAAGCAGGGAAGGGGATGGGGGGAAGCAGGGCAGGGGATGGGGGGAAGCACGGCAGGGGATGGGGGGAAGCAGGGAAGGGGATGGGGGGAAGCAGGGAAGGGGATGGGGGGAAGCAGGGAAGGGGATGGGGGGAAGCAGGGCAGGGGATGGGGGGAAGCAGGGCAGCGGATGGGGGGAAGCAGGGAAGGGGATGGGGGGAAGCAGGGAAGGGGATGGGGGGGAGCAAGGAAGGGGATGGGGGGGAGCAGGGCAGTGGATAAGTGGAAGCAGGGAAGGGGATGGGGGGAAGCAGGGAAGGGGATGGGGGGAAGCAGGGAAGGGGATGGGGGGAAGCAGGGAAGGGGATGGGGGGAAGCAGGGAAAGGGATGGGGGGAAGAAGGGCAGCGGATGGGGGGAAGCAGGGCAGCGGATGGGGGGAAGCAGGGAAGGGGATGGGGGGAAGCAGGGAAGGGGATGGGGGGAAGCAGGGAAGGGGATGGGGGGAAGCAGGGAAGGGGATGGGGGGAAGCAGGGAAGGGGATGGGGGGAAGCAGGGAAGGGGATGGGGGGAAGCAGGGAAGGGGATGGGGGGAAGCAGGGAAGGGGATGGGGGGAAGCAGGGAAGGGGATGGGGGGAAGCAGGGAAGGGGATGGGGGGAAGCAGGGAAGGGGATGGGGGGAAGCAGGGAAGGGGATGGGGGGAAGCAGGGAAGGGGATGGGGGGAAGCAGGGAAGGGGATGGGGGGAAGCAGGGAAGGGGATGGGGGGAAGCAGGGAAGGGGATGGGGGGAAGCAGGGAAGGGGATGGGGGGAAGCAGGGAAGGGGATGGGGGGAAGCAGGGAAGGGGATGGGGGGAAGCAGGGAAGGGGATGGGGGGAAGCAGGGAAGGGGATGGGGGGAAGCAGGGAAGGGGATGGGGGGAAGCAGGGAAGGGGATGGGGGGAAGCAGGGAAGGGGATGGGGGGAAGCAGGGAAGGGGATGGGGGGAAGCAGGGAAGGGGATGGGGGGAAGCAGGGAAGGGGATGGGGGGAAGCAGGGAAGGGGATGGGGGGAAGCAGGGAAGGGGATGGGGGGAAGCAGGGAAGGGGATGGCGGGAAGCAGGGCAGGGATGGGGGAAGCAGGGCAGCGGATTGGGGGAAGCAGGGAAGGGGATGGGGGGAAGCAGGGAAGGGGATGGGGGGAAGCAGGGAAGGGGATGGGGGGAAGCAGGGAAGGGGATGGGGGGAAGCAGGGAAGGGGATGGGGGGAAGCAGGGAAGGGGATGGGGGGAAGCAGGGAAGGGGATGGGGGGAAGCAGGGAAGGGGATGGGGGGAAACAGGGAAGGGGATGGGGGGAAAGGGCAGGGAAGGGAATGGGGGGAAGCAGGGGGCAGCGGATGGGGGGAAGCAGGGAACGGGATGGGGGGAAGCAGGGAAGCGGATGGGGGGAAGCAGGGCAGTGGATGGGGGGAAGCAGGGAAGGGGATGGGGGGAAGCAGGGAAGGGGATGGGGGGAAGCAGGGAAGAGGATACGGGGAACAGGGAAGAGGACGGGGGGAACGGGGGCAGATGCCGGGGAGAGAGGGGAGGATGGTGGGGAGCAGAGAGGAGTTCGAAACGCTGTTCGATTGGGGTGGCGGAGGCGACAACGGGAGGCGAGGGCCTAGAGGAGCAACTGGGCCAACGAGTTGCTGCGCGTGACGTCGGATTCAGCGGGTAATCTACCCTGGAGCGCGAGTGAATGGTTGAGCGCGGGACGAGGGGAGGAGAGCGCGTGACGAGGGGAAACGCGCGTAACGGGAGAAACGCGCGACGAGGGGCCATGCGCGTGACGGGGGAAACGCCCTGTTTCGAGGGGAAACGCGCGCGACGAGGGGACGAAGGGGCAGATGCCGGGGAGAGAGCACGTGACGAGGGGAAGCACGCTAACCCGGGCAGGCGCGAGTGCCTTGGGGCAGGCGCAAGTGACGAGGGCAGGCGCGAGTGACGAGGGCAGGCGCGATTGACGAGGGAAGGCGCGATTGACGAAAGCAGGCGCGAGTGGCGAGGGGGAGCGCCTTTGACGAAGCGCGGGAAACGTGGGGTAGCATGGTGATGCACTCGTTTGTGTGTCGGTACGGTAGAACGCACGTTCCGTGTGAGTAACGTGCAACGCCAAAAAAAAAATCGAGTGTGACACTAGGCTTGAGCTGCCTAGCTATTGGCGCGACTACGTGGGTGACGTGAGTTGCCGTAAAAAAGACGTTATGGGTTCTAGCTTTTGCCGCACTGGCTTGGCTTCCTACTTACGGGAAGGAGTAAGGCAGGTTATGAGTACAACTAGGTGTTCAAGATATGTGAGGGGAGAACACCGATCCAGAGTGAGCGACGGGCGGTTCAGTTTTGCGATTGTGTACAAGAGCCTATCGGGGGAGAGTGTCGCTCGGCGTTGTCCCAGACTCGCGAGAGTTCTCTCAAACAAAGAAGGGTAACCCTGTTTTTGGCGAGAGATTTCAAGTTCAAGAATCTTGAACTTGAAAAAACCATGCTGTACTCGGGCTTTAAATGAACGTGCGCGAACACGTTGAATCTAACGTGTGCACTTTTGGGCACGCTGGATGGTTTGGCGAAATTATTCAGACGTACGAAACCAAAGTCCCCCTGCCGAAAACGCGAAAATAGTCGCGATGTCAGAGAAAACCACGTGTCAGGAACCGGGTAACCTAAGGGGTCGAATCTCGACATTCGACCAAATTTGTGTTGTTGTGATTGGTTTGAAAAATAACGTGCGGCTCGAACCTCGGTAACACCGAAAATCGACTACAGTTCACCATGAAATCAAAATGGAAATTTGCCTAAAAAATGTGAACTTTGCAGTTTTCAAAAATCACACGCGCCCTTATGTCAGAATGTGATGTTTGTCTAGCCTGCAGTGGGGTACTCTATAGCGAGTACAGCCCGAATTAGGGTTTGCTATATGTACTCAACTGCCTGCTAGTGAAAACCCCTCTTTTCTGTTTCTAGCTTTTGCCTAGCCTTTCTGACATGCTATCAGAGCAGGTCGACCCTCCTGGGTCGATCCTGTGAGTGGTCTCGCCCGATGCTTCCGCTGCTGTCCTGCCTATCGCACGCCCTGGGCGCGCGATTTTTGCTGCCTGCCGCGCGCTCAGAGCGCGCGATGTTCGTTTTTTCTTCCCGCCGCGCGCTCGGGGCGCGCGGCGGTTTTCTGCCCCGTCGATCCGCGCGTCGCCCCTTGTCGACGGTCGCGTCGCCCCCCGGGACCCTGTCGCGACGCCCTGGGGAGCCGCGCGCGGCCCCCGCTGCCCCGTCGCGGCGCCCTGGGGAGCCGCGCGCGGCCCCCGCTGCCCCGTCGTGGCGCTCTGAGGAGCCGCGCGCGGCCCCCCGCTGCCCCGTCGCGGCGCCCTGGGGAGCCGCGCGCCATCCCCCGAGCTGCTGCCCGCGCACCGCCCCCCCGCTGCTACCTATGTTAGGGTTTGGGGGTGGCAAGTGTGGGGGTGACGGGTGTGTGTGCGCCATCCCCTGCTCCTCCTCCTCCTCCGTCTCCCACTGCTGCAGCTACCGCTGAGGGGGGTGGATGTGTTGGAGCCGTCGGAGTGGTACGAGGGGGGTGGCGTGTGAGCAGTGCTAGAGGTACAGCAGAGGGTGTGTGAAAGGGGTGTGGGACAGCTGGGGGAAGTTGAGTGGAGGCAGCCGTCTTGTCGTCCGCAGCGCCTGTAGTCCAGAGAGCCAGCTGCGTCTGTGGCCGTGTAGTCCGGGGCTCTGCGCCTGGTAGCCACAGTGTGAGCACTCCTGGGAGCACAGAGAGCCAGCTGCGCCTGTCGCCGTGTAGTCCGGGGCTCTGCGCCTGGTAGCGACAGTGCTGCGCACTCCTGTTGCCCGTGTGTCTGCAGCTTCAGCCGTCGCCTCCCATCTTCTCGCCTCCACAGTTTCTCCTCCTCCTCACTTGCCCTCTGTGATAGTCTCTAGCTTTGCTTATCATTGTGAACTACTGCTCTGCCTGCTTGTTGTGCTGATTGTACCCCACTTTGACTATGGGGGTGTGTCAGAATGTGATGTTTGTCTAGCCTGCAGTGGGGTACTCTATAGCGAGTACAGCCCGAATTAGGGTTTGCTATATGTACTCAACTGCCTGCTAGTGAAAACCCCTCTTTCCTGTTTCTAGCTTTTGCCTAGCCTTTCTGACACCTTATGCTGCCTGTACTAGGTCTACCCACACGGACCACATTCATACTGTCGGTGCGTAGAGATGCCAATCCCCGTCCCCCACCGAGGCGCTCGTCGTGGTTCTGTCTGGATGCATTACTGTGTTGGTTCATCAAGCACAGCAAGCAGTTTCGCCAGAGACCACCATTCGTTCACCCCCCCTAATTTCCAGTTGGGTTAACCACTCGCTCGAGCAGCCGAGCACTCACCACCTCGAATCCATGGCAGCTCCAGGTGACATGTACGCTGCCAATACTGATGATGGCGACCCATCTAGTAGCAACCGACCAAGAACTAGCCTCGATTTCTTGCGAGGCCTCGTCTCAGAACCTGCACCCCGCCCTTTGCCAGAGCCCTTGGTTGACAGTGAGGGGTGTCAACAAGACTAGGCAAGAATGATTGAAAGGAGAGGGGTTTCACTAGCAGCAGTTGGGGTACATATAGCAAACCCTAATTGGGTTGTACTCGCTATAGAGCACCCCACTACAGGCTAGACAATAATAACATTCTGACACACCCCCATAGCCAAAGTGGGGTGTAATCAGTACAATGAGCAGGCATAGCAATAGTTCACAATTATAAGCAAAGCTAGAGGTGATCATAGAGGGCAAGTGAGGAGGAGGAGAAACTATGAGGGCGAGACGATGAAAGGCGCCGACTGAAACTGCAGACACACGGGCAACAGGAGCGGCGCGCACAGTGGCTACCGAGCGCACGAGGGCACCGGACTACGGGAGTATCTGGCTCCGCGGCTACGACGAGCACACACAGGAGCAACGGACCCACAGGCGACTGGCGAAGCAGGCTCGCTGGGCTACCGAAACGCGCGAGGGCATCCGGACTACTGGCGCTGCTGGCGTCACGACGGCTACCTCCACGCAACCTCCCCCGACCGTCCCACGCCCCTCTCACACACCCCCTGCTGACACCCTAGCTCCACTTCCACGGCACCCCCCTTAAACCCTAAACCCTCGGCTCCCACACACCCACCCCCCTCAGCGGCAGCTGCAGCAGTGGGAGACGGAGGAGGAGGAGGAGCCGCAGGTTACCCACACCGGTCACCCCCATGCCCGCCACCCCCAAACCCTAACGCAGGCAGGAGCGCGGGAAACAGCAGGGGCGGGGCACGGAGGGAAAGGGAGGCAGCGGGGTGGCTCTTGGGCGCCACGAAGAAGCAGGGCGCGGGCCCCCCGAGGGCGCCACGGCGGGTGACGGGAGGGGGGCCGCGCACGGGCCCCCGAGGGCGGCTCGACGGGCGACGGGAGGGGCCGCGCGCGGGCCCCCTAGGCGCCGCGACGAGGCGACGGGAGGGGGCGGCGCGCGGGCCCCCAAGGTGCCGCGACGAGGCGACGGGAGGGGGGGGACGCGCGGGCCCCCAAGGCGCCGCGACGAGGCGACGGGAGGAGGACGACGGGGGGCAGCGCGCAGGTCCCCGGGGGCGCCACGACGGGCAGGAAACCGCCGCGCGCCTCGGGGCGCACGGCGGGCAGAAAACCGCCGTACGCCCTGAGCGCACGGCGGGATGAAAAACCCTGAGCGCACGGCAGGAAGAAGACGGCGCGCGCCCGAGGCGTGCGAGAAGCAGAATAGCAGCGGAAGCAGTTAGGTGGCGGGCCCACCCACAGGATCGACCCAAGGGGGTCGACCTGCTCTGATACCATGTCAACAAGACTAGGCAAGAATGATTGAAAGGAGAGGGGTTTCACTAGCAGCAGTTGGGGTACATATAGCAAACCCTAATTGGGTTGTACTCGCTATAGAGCACCCCACTACAGGCTAGACAATAATAACATTCTGACAAGGGGTGGCAATTTCCAGTGCGCAAAGCTGCGCCACAGTCACCACCACCACAGCATGAGCTAGACTCAGACGACGCAGAATGGCAGCGTCCCACACGCATTGAGGCGGACCCCGTCGTTCACGACAACGTGGAGACGACGAAGATCGTGACAGAGGCCTCGGAGTCTTCTACCTCTGTAGCGGTGAAACGACGCCGCTACACCCTGACTACTATCGGTTTCGGCGCCGGCACGCCTCTTGTGAAACCTCCTCCTCCGCCACCTCCCACCGTCATGCCAGCACCGTCACCTCTCAAGAAGATTGCAGCTCAATGCGCGGAAGAGAAGTTCCTAGAAGCAAAGAGGAACTACATAACAAAATGGCTCCCGCATTTTGATTGGCTGCTGCTCGACAAGGGTGATGATGGCCTTCCTCGCTTGCGTTGCAGTGTGTGCAGTGAACACGGCCCAGACAACACGCGTAACGGGAGGAACGGAAGCGGCGGACGCGACTTGCAGCCAGCGTCGATGCGGGCGCACCAAGCAAGCACTCGCCATGAGGAGTGCATCGACCGTTAGAAGGGACTTCTCGACAAGTTAGCGGCGCAGAAGAAGATCGACGACTATGAGAGAGCGGACACGGAGGGCGCGCGATCAAGCTCATGCGGAGCATACAGTTTGTGTGCGACGAGGACGCACCGATCGCAATGTACCCGCGGCTCATGGAGTTCCTTGCCAGGGAGAGTGTTTCTGACATCCCTCAGCAGAGCTACGGTGTCTACATCACCGAGTGAGTGATGTTGTCCCGTAAATGTGGAATATTGTTGTCATGAAAAAAAAAAACAGATACTAATCCATCTAAGTGCATCTTGCAGGTACAGTTTCAAGGAGATGGTGAAAGCGATGTGCACGTATCAGCACCAGCAACAGATGATGCACATCCACGCATCACCGTGGATCGCCATAAGTAGTGATGAGAGCACTGACAGAGCGCACGGGAAACATCTCGTTGTGTTTGCCACTTTTTTGAAGGACCGACAGGTGGCGACGAAGTTCCTCGCACTATTCACCGTCCAAAAGTACGACGCTGCTTCAATCTTCACCGTCTTGCTCAGCCACCTCGAGACCATCGGTATGGATGTGCAGAGGATAGTCGCTATCAGCACCGTTGTGTCAGAAATAACTGAGCAGGAATGGAATGAACTAGCAGAGAGTTTGGTACAAGTAGGAAACCCTAACTTTGAGTACCCCCTAAGGTGTAACCCACTACAGCCTACATAATATAAACATGCAATGTTTGACACACCCCCATAGGCGCAGTGGGAGACAACCACAGGGTCACAAGACCAGTCAAAGTAAAGCAAAGTAAGCTCAGGGTGGATCTCAAGGATTCCACACAAATTCCGAGCACAAGCAAGCGGTCACAAGACCAGTTCACATGCAGGTTTATAACAAAGCAAGAGATACAGTGATCACAACCTAGCAAAAGTAAACAAGTAGGCATATATATAGTGATCACAGTACAAGCAAGGTCAAGAGGTAAGTAAGTGAGGCCCAGTGGGTACAAGGCCTAGCAGAGTGCAAAAGCGCTGATGGTCACAAGGCTGAAGCGCCTTGGTGAACACATCAGCAGTGTTGGCCTCCGTGGCCACGTAACGCAGACAAAGCTGACCACGCTGCTGCAGCTCTCGAGCAAGGAAGTACCGCAGAGCGATGTGCTTCGTTCTGTGCTCCAGTCTGTGCTCCTCACACAAGGCAATGGCAGCCTTGTTGTCGACGTACAGCACTGGAGGAGAACGAGGCCGCTCTCCGAGGTCGGTCAGCAGGTAGGTCAGCCAGCGTAGCTCCTGAGCAGCCATGGCTGTGGCGTAGATCTCAGCCTCACAACTGGAGCTGAGAACAGAAGAAGAGCGAGTAGAACGCCAAGAAACTGAGCCAGAGCCAAGGCTGAAGGTGTAACCCTGGGACGACCGCTGAGTAGCCTGGTCGTCTGCCCAAGAAGCGTCTGAGTGCCCTGTGAGAACAACCCGGTCTCGCCCTCCAAGCACAAGCCCCATGCCCGACGTACTGCACAAGTAGCGCAACACCCTCTTAGCAGCATCCATGTGCTCCTTCCGGTGACGGCCAGGAGCGACATAGCGTGCTAGGATGCTAAGAGGGTATGCAAGGTCAGGTCGAGTGCAGGTCATCAGGTACATGAGGCAGCCCACAAGCTCTGGATACGGGCCACTCGGCTCTACGGACTCATCCGAAGGCAGAGCTGAGAGCGAGTGACCGGTAGGCAGAGGAGTGGACTGAGGCGAGGAGTACGTGAAGCGGAAGCGCTGGAGAACCTGCTGCACCATGTGTGACTGAGTCAGGGTGATGGTGCGCCGTGCTCTGTCCCGGGTGATCCGCAAGCCAAGATAGCTCGTCAGCTCACCCAGGTCTGTGCACGTGTGTCTCCTCTGCAGCTCCGACTTCACGTGAGCGAGTGCCGCGGTGTCAGCAGTGGCAAAGACCAAGTCGTCGACGTACACGAGGATGTAGAACGGCGGCAGCGAGGTGTCGGTGCGTAGAAACAGCGACGGGTCAGCAGTAGAGGGAGCGAACCCAAGAGCCGCAAGTGTCGTCCTCAGTGTGTCGTGCCACTCACGTGGCGCCTGGCGGAGACCGTAGACCGGCCGCTGAAGCCTCCACTGGGTGCCAGGAGGAACTGACCCAGTGAAGCCAGGGGGGCGGCGCAGCCAGATCTCCTCGTGCAGGCTGCCCTGCAAGAAAGCAGTGCTGAAGTCAAGAGAGTGAAGCTCGTAGTCGCGCTGAGCGGCTATGTGTAGCAGCACCCGAAGAGTAGTCATCTTCGGGGTGGGGGAGAAGGTCTGAAAGAAGTCTACTCCCTCTCGCTGACTGAAGCCTCGAGCCACGTAGCGCGCCTTGAAGACAGGCGGAGAACCCGGCGGCCGCTTCACCCTGAAAATCCACATGCCACTGACGATGTTCGCCCCAGGAGGGGGAACCTCATCTACGTAGGTGCCTGTGGACTTCCAGGAGGCCATCTCTGCGTCCATGGCTGTCTGCCACTGAGAGGAGTAGGGACCCGCCATCGCCTCAGCGTAAGAGCGTGGGGTCGGGATGTCTGGTGCATCCGGGTCTCCCTCAGGGGCAACTAGCAAGGACACGAGACGGGGCAAAGCAGCAGCAAGGCAGTGGAACTCCTCCTGTCTGTCCTCAAGGACGTCCGTGCCGAGGGCACACTCACCCCCGACGGACGGAGGACAGGCAGACGCAGACTCAGACCTAGCGACAAGGCTGGCAGCGTAGTCTAGGCGACAGCGAGCAGCAAAGTCAACCAACTCAGCGACCAGAGCAGACGCAGCAGAGGACTCAAAGGTCGGGTCCGTGACAACTGTAGCGAGGAGACGCGTAACAGTGGGACTGGCAGCACGACGAGAGTCAGACTCCGGGTCAGGAAGAGTAGGAAGAGAGGACGCAGGAGGAGACGGCAGCGGGACACGCTGCGGAGCAGTGGAGGGACGCAGAGTCATGTAGTGAGTGCCAGGGACAGGAGGAGGACGCTCACGTGGGACACGACGACCAGTGCGAGCAGTACGAACAGGCGACGCAGGACGAGACTCAGGCTCACGACGCTCTGTAAGACCTCCTGTGGGACCAGCGTAAGGGGAGGGAGCAGGGAGAGGCGAGGCAGGCGGTAACTGTGACTGCGGCTGGACAGGCAGAGGACACTCGACGGAGGGAGGAGGACTAGGAGGAGGAGCCTGACCAAGAACCTGCTGAAGGAGCGGTACGAAGTACGGTCGCGGCCGCGCAGCGTCTCCAGAAGCAGCAGGGACACCAGTGGCAGCCCCAACGCCCGAGTCCTCAGTACCAGCAGCAGCTCCAACGCCCGGGTCCTCAGCACCAGCAGCAGCACCACTGGTCGGGTCCTCAGCACCAGTAGCAGCTCCACCGTCCAGGTCCTCAGTACCAGCAGCAGCTCCACCGTCCGGGTCCGCAGCACCAGCAGCAGCTCCACCGGCCGGGTCCGCAGCACCAGCAGCAGCTCCACCGTGCGGGTCCGCAGCACCAGCAGCAGCTCCACCGTCCGGGTCCCCAGCACCAGCAGCAGCTCCACCGTCCGAGTCCTCAGCACCAGCAGCAGCACCACTGGTCGGGTCCTCAGCACCAGCAGTAGCTCCAACGTCCGGGTCCTCAGCACCAGCAGCAGCTCCAGCGTCCGGGTCCTCAGCACCAGCAACAACACCACCGCTCGGGTCCGCAGCACCAGGAGCACCACTACGAAGACTGCAGCGCCGCGTGTACCACTCGCGGATCACCTGAATGGGGGGGAGCTCCTGGGTAGGAGGGGAAGTACCGGGACGAGCTCCAGAAGCACCTCTCCGGAGGCGGCAGTACTCGAGGTACCTCTCCTGCAGCTGCTGGGAGGAGAGGGCTCCTCCAGGTGGAGCACGCTCAGGCTCAGCACCCCCAGACTCAGCACCCCCAGGCTCAGCACCCCCAGTCTCAGCACGTCCAGGCTCAGCACCCCCAGGCTCAGTACCTCCAGGCTCCGCACCTCCAGGCTCCGTACCTCCAGGCTCCGCACCCCCAGGCTCCGCACCCTCAGACGCAGCACTCCCAGGCTCAGCACCCCCAGACGCAGGACGCGAGTCAACAGCTACCTCGACAGGCTCACCCGGGTCTACCTGGGACACACCTGAGGGAGCGGCACCCTGAGGGGGGAGGGGGTCTGGTACCTCAGCACCTGGAGCGAGGAAGAGAGGCGGGGGGGGAGCGGGGCAGTGCGGTAGGGGAAGAGGCGGTAGAAGGGGACGGACTCGTCAAAAGTGACGTCCTGAGAGGCCAGAACCCGGCGCGAGGTGACGTGGTAAAACTGCCATCCAGGCGCGTCGGGAACAAAGCCAAGAAAGACACAGGGAACAGCGCGACGCGAGAGCTTGTCCGCGGACGTATCGCGGACAAAAGCTCGAGATCCCCAGACCCGGAAACGCGACGCATCGCCAACCTCTCCCGTCCACCGTAGAGTCGGGGAAGTCTCCGGCAAGGAGACACGGGGCCAGAGGTTGAGCTGATGCGCTGCGTACCGGACCGCAAACGGCCACAGAAAGTGGGGAGCAGCCGCATGGGTCAGGGAGGTACGAGCGACCTCCATGACCAAGCCAATGCGGCGCTCAGCGACCCCATTCTGCTGTGGAGAGGCCGGAAGCGTGTACGACTGCTCAATGCCGTGCTCAGCACAGTAGGCTGCCAAGAGGTCGGAGGCAAACTCACCACCTCTGTCAGAGTGCAAGCGCAGGACAGGAAAGTCCGAGTGAAAGCGCTCGCCTAGCTGGAGACGGGCTCGGCTGATCCAGGGGATCAAAACACCAGGGACGTCACCCTTGGCGCGCAAGGGGAAGACCGTGGTGTAGCGCGAGTAGTCGTCAACAACTATCAGGAAGTATCTCTCCTGACCCTGACCACGGACGCGGGCTGGGCCCCACACGTCCATGTGGAGCGTCTGCAGGGGAGCTGTCGTCGGGGGAAAGGAGGAGGAGTGAGGAGCGGCGCGCTGCCGCCCCTCGACACAGGGAATGCAGTCAGGAGCAGGGGAGTCAGGAAGGGGAGGGAGCACCCTGGGAAGACCAGCAACAAGGTCCCGTTTGTGCATGGCCCGCAGGCGCTGCACAGACGGGTGACCAAGGCGGTGGTGCCAGAGGACGGTGTCGTTCGCCAGAGAGCGACACGAGCAGGGGGCGGACAGCTGACCTGACGCTGACGCAGACGCAGCTACCTGAGGGGACTCAGTGGTCAGTGTGTACAGGTCAGACCCCGGCTCTCGAGTGAAAGTAGCTAGATGGCGGCCCGTCCGAGCACACGTGCAGTGAGTCACACGCTCGTAGGCAGGGGTGAACTGGTGAACACCCCCGTCCTGGAGCGCACTACCTGCCACCAAGTTCGTGGAGAACGAGGGGAGGTAGAGACCTGAGAGCGTGCCGGACGGAACCGCTGGACACGGAAGGGTGGTGGAGGAGGTCGCAAGGACCGGACCCCCAGAGGGGTCAGCAAGAGAGACAGCAACCGGCCGAGCTAGAGGCTCAAGGACAGTGCGGTCACGAAAGAAAGAGCGAGAAGCACCTGAGTCCAGTGTGAAGGTGTGCAGTGCTGCAGTCGACTCAGTACCAGGGGGCACAGACGCACAAGCACCTAGAGCAGCAGCTGCAGTAGTACCTGTGGAAGCAGACACACTAGCACCTAGAGCAGCAGCGGGGCTGGCCTGAATGCCCGGGTCGGGCGGAACACGCAAGTACTGAGCACCCTCTCCACTAATAGACATCGCATACATGGCAGTGAGAATAGCATCAAAGTCTAGTGCCCAAATATCAACACCCTTCCTGAGCAGCTCAGCCCAGCGCGGCAGCTCACCCCCACCAGGAAACTGGGTGCGCCACGCATCGTTGAGGCGGGCGAAGCAGCGCTCCGTCTGGTGCGGCCCCCCACACGTCTGGCCAGTGCGGTCACCTGTACGAATAACATACTGGCAGGTGACGCTGCGCCGCGCATACCACTCACGAGCGGCCTGAAGGGTCGGGGCAGGCTGCTGACTCTGACCGCCCCCCGGGCCTCCACGACCACCACCCCCTCCGCCTCCGCCCCGGCCACCTCCACCCCTGCCGCTGCCACGACCACCTCCGCCTCCGCTGCCACCTCCGCCCCTGTCACCACTCCCAACGCCGCTGTCACCTCCACCACTGCCGCCACTAGCCTCTCCAGTCGCACCTCCACCGCCACCACCTCCACCTCCGCCTCCTCCGCCACCACCCCCACTCCTGCCACTCCTGCCCCTGCGTCGTCCGCCTGAAGCAGACGCAGCCCCGACCTTCTCAGCACCAAGGAGGTCGACAGCAGCAGCAGAGGCGACAGAGGGGAGGAGGGGGGAAGGGGAGCACCCCTCAAAGAAGGGGCCGCGGGGGTCGCCACGAGAGGTGCCTACAGCGACGATACTAGCCTCGGCTGCAAGCAGTTCCTTCTCGAGGAGGTCTACGGTGAGCTCAGTGGGGGAGCGAGAGAGGAACTGGTCCCTGACAGGGCGCAGAGAGTCAGGGAGGCGGGTGACAACGTGGTAGAGAGTGATCCAGAGCGGGGGGGGGTTGCTAGCGAGGAACTCGTCAGGCATGGCAGCGCGAAAGCGAGCCTCACTAGTCTTAAGGTGGGTGATGAGGTCTGCGACAGTGTGAAAGGAGGCTAGGTCGGGGAACAGGTAGGGGAGAGTGAGGCGGCCTAGAGTGGCAGAAGCGGGTGAGGAGTAGCGGGCCACTACAGCTGTGTAGAGGTCCTTAGCAGTCTTGCACTGGCCGAAGTGCTCGCGCTCATCTAGCGGCAGGGAGTTGCGAATAGCAAAGCGAGCGTGCGCGTCACGGGTCTGCCACTGTGAGCGCTCAGCTGGGGGGGCAGTAGCGGGTGGGGCGGTCGCATGGCCGAGAGCGTGGTCGTACAGTGTAATATCTTCCTTGGCAGTGAGCTGTAGGAAAAGGTGCAGGTCATCTAGCCAGGTTTCGAATTTGACCGGACGGCCCTCGGCGTCGAAAGCTAGAACAGGAGGACTAGCCATAGCGACAGCGGCAGTAGTAGAAGCAGTAAAGTCACTGAAAAGGCGTGCGCAGGGTCAGCGGGGCCGGTGGGGCCTACGGACTGTAGTGGCGCACAAGCAGCAGTAGCAGGAAGTGTAGTAGTAGGATCTGCAGTGGTGCACAGGCGCAGCAGGCGGCAGCGAGAGCCGGCGCAGCAGGGGCGGGCTCAGCAGCGGTGATACGCGAGCGGCGGCGGGCGCAGCAGCGGCGGTGCGCGGGCGGCGGCGGGCTCAGCAGCAGCGGTGCGCGGGCGGCTGCGGGCTCAGCAGCGGCGGGCCGGGAGCAGGCAGCGCGCGGGCCGTATGTGAGCTGCGCGGGCAGCGTGCGGGCCGGCGGCGGTCAGCGCAAGAGCCGCGCAGGCTCAGCGCGGGCTGCGCGGGCTGCTCGCGGGCTGCGTAAGCGGGTCGCGGGCGGCTCGCGGGGGTTCGCGGGCAGGTCGCGGGCTGCTCGCGGGCAGTTCGCGGGCTGTGCGCGGGCTGCGCGGGCTGGTCGCGGGCTGCGCAGGCGGTTCGCGGGCTGCGCGTGGGCGGTTCGCGGGCTGTGAGCGCGGCGCGCTGTGCGGTTCGCGGGCGGCGTGACGGGGCCGATCGGGGCGCTAAGGGGCGACGCGACGGGGGCCGTGAGAGGCCGCTAGGGAAAAAAAAAAATTCGAAGGGGGGGGCCGGAGGGCCGCTAGATCGACGGGGCCAGCGGGGCCGGAAACAAGCGAAGGTAAGCAGGTAGGTAAGTCGGTGGGCCCTAAGAACAGTCCTAACGAAGGACCTGCTCTGAAACCATGTCAGAAATAACTGAGCAGGAATGGAATGAACTAGCAGAGAGTTTGGTACAAGTAGGAAACCCTAACTTTGAGTACCCCCTAAGGTGTAACCCACTACAGCCTACATAATATAAACATGCAATGTTTGACACGTTGGCTCGGGTTTGATGATTGGCACCCAGACCGGGCTTGTGGTGCGTCTCTGTCAGCGCATTCCACATCTCGTCGGGACGCATTGCATCGCTCACAGGCAAAATATGGTGTTTTTTTTGTTATGCCGATTATCAATATACTAACATTCGTGTTTTGTACCGTGCAAAGAAGTTCTAGCTGTGAAGGAGTCGGCGCTTAAATACACGGACCTTGACATCGTCGATGATGCAATCCGCGGGCTTGGTGAGATCGTCAAGCGATCGTCCATCTGGCATGAACGCTTCTTGGAGCTTCAGCTTGAGATTCACAAGACTAACCTGGGGCATCAGAGGCTTTTCGACGTTCGTTGGCTATCGCGCAGAGATGCAGTGCAGCGGCTGTGTAGAGTCCTCGGGGCAGCTATCTGTGGAGATTCACTCTACAACGGTAGTGAGCTAGACTACGGGGGTTGGCACGAACTACTAGGAGTGATTGTAGCTTTGCTTGGTTCCTTAGTGCTTGCACATTCACTGCAGAAATTGGCAAGAGTTTCCACTAGCAAAGTTGGAATTCCAGAATGATTGAACAAGCAATGACAACAATGACTACATCAGGCACCTAGCAACCCTGCAGCTAGCCTGGTCGACCGCCAGCACAGCTTGGTCGACCGCCTGCCAGCGTTGCGTAGAGGAGCCGCGCCAGCACTGCAGAAGGGCGACCTGCCAACGCAGCAGGTCGACGGCGTGCCAACACTGCAGCAGTGCGGCTGTCCAGCGTTGCACCCGTAGATGATAGCAGTGCGCACGCTCGCAGGTGTGCGCAGACGATTGGCCCGACTTGCATCGTTGTGCATCCGTCGGCTGTTGTCTGCGCCTGACGAGCCACATCGACTTCGGGATACCAACCCGAAGTTGCCTTCGTCATCGCGGTTTCGACGACGTTCGCGTGCCTCCGCAGAACTCGTCGAGCAGGTTACCCGGTCGACCTGGACACCACCAAGTGCTCTGGTCGACCACCAGTGCCTCCGGTCGACCACCAGGTGCCTCCGGTCGACCACAGCTCCCTCTGGTCGACCACCAGGTGCCTCTGGTCGACCACAGCTCCCGTCGAGCTACCCCCTGGTCGACGGACCCCTTCCGGCAACCAGAATTATTGGCGGTTGTCGCCGAGCTCCCCTCGTCGACCTCTGCTCACTTGTCAGGTCAACGGCTGCTCCGCCGACCTCCCCGGCCGAACTGTACATCGGCTGGCAGCTCCTTCGACCTCCCGGTCGAACTGCCCCTCCTGGTCGACGGCCCACCCGTCGCCCAGACTAGTCCGTTGCAGCTGTCGAGCTCTTTGGTGTCAGAATAACTGAGCAGGAATGGGATGAACTAGCACAGAGTTTGGTACAAGTAGGAAACCCTAACTTTGAGTACCCCCTAAGGTGTAACCCACTACAGCCTACATAATATAAACATGCAATGTTTGACACACCCCCATAGGCGCAGTGGGAGACAACCACAGGGTCACAAGACCAGTCAAAGCAAAGCAAAGCAAGCTCAGGGTGGATCTCAAGGATTCCACACAAATTCCGAGCACAAGCAAGCGGTCACAAGACCAGTTCACATGCAGGTTTATAACAAAGCAAGAGATACAGTGATCACAACCTAGCAAAAGTAAACAAGTAGGCATATATATATAGTGATCACAGTACAAGCAAGGTCAAGAGGTAAGCAAGTGAGGCCCAGTAGGTACAAGGCCTAGCAGCGTGCAAAAGCGCTGATGGTCACAAGGCTGAAGCGCCTTGGTGAACACATCAGCAGTGTTGGCCTCCGTGGCCACGTAACGCAGACAAAGCTGACCACGCTGCTGCAGCTCTCGAGCAAGGAAGTACCGCAGAGCGATGTGCTTCGTTCTGTGCTCCAGTCTGTGCTCCTCACACAAGGCAATGGCAGCCTTGTTGTCGACGTACAGCACTGGAGGAGAACGAGGCCGCTCTCCGAGGTCGGTCAGCAGGTAGGTCAGCCAGCGTAGCTCCTGAGCAGCCATGGCTGTGGCGTAGATCTCAGCCTCACAACTGGAGCTGAGAACAGAAGAAGAGCGAGTAGAACGCCAAGAAACTGAGCCAGAGCCAAGGCTGAAGGTGTAACCCTGGGACGACCGCTGAGTAGCCTGGTCGTCTGCCCAAGAAGCGTCTGAGTGCCCTGTGAGAACAACCCGGTCTCGCCCTCCAAGCACAAGCCCCATGCCCGACGTACTGCACAAGTAGCGCAACACCCTCTTAGCAGCATCCATGTGCTCCTTCCGGTGACGGCCAGGAGCGACATAGCGTGCTAGGATGCTAAGAGGGTATGCAAGGTCAGGTCGAGTGCAGGTCATCAGGTACATGAGGCAGCCCACAAGCTCTGGATACGGGCCACTCGGCTCTACGGACTCATCCGAAGGCAGAGCTGAGAGCGAGTGACCGGTAGGCAGAGGAGTGGACTGAGGCGAGGAGTACGTGAAGCGGAAGCGCTGGAGAACCTGCTGCACCATGTGTGACTGAGTCAGGGTGATGGTGCGCCGTGCTCTGTCCCGGGTGATCCGCAAGCCAAGATAGCTCGTCAGCTCACCCAGGTCTGTGCACGTGTGTCTCCTCTGCAGCTCCGACTTCACGTGAGCGAGTGCCGCGGTGTCAGCAGTGGCAAAGACCAAGTCGTCGACGTACACGAGGATGTAGAACGGCGGCAGCGAGGTGTCGGTGCGTAGAAACAGCGACGGGTCAGCAGTAGAGGGAGCGAACCCAAGAGCCGCAAGTGTCGTCCTCAGTGTGTCGTGCCACTCACGTGGCGCCTGGCGGAGACCGTAGACCGGCCGCTGAAGCCTCCACTGGGTGCCAGGAGGAACTGACCCAGTGAAGCCAGGGGGGCGGCGCAGCCAGATCTCCTCGTGCAGGCTGCCCTGCAAGAAAGCAGTGCTGAAGTCAAGAGAGTGAAGCTCGTAGTCGCGGTGAGCGGCTATGTGCAGCAGCACCCGAAGAGTAGTCATCTTCGGGGTGGGGGAGAAGGTCTGAAAGAAGTCTACTCCCTCTCGCTGACTGAAGCCTCGAGCCACGTAGCGCGCCTTGAAGACAGGTGGAGAACCCGGCGGCCGCTTCACCCTGAAAATCCACATGCCACTGACGATGTTCGCCCCAGGAGGGGGAACCTCGTCTACGTAGGTGCCTGTGGACTTCCAGGAGGCCATCTCTGCGTCCATGGCTGTCTGCCACTGAGAGGAGTAGGGACCCGCCATCGCCTCAGCGTAAGAGCGTGGGGTCGGGATGTCTGGTGCATCCGGGTCTCCCTCAGGGGCAACTAGCAAGGACACGAGACGGGGCAAAGCAGCAGCAAGGCAGTGGAACTCCTCCTGTCTGTCCTCAAGGACGTCCGTGCCGAGGGCACACTCACCCCCGACGGACGGAGGACAGGCAGACGCAGACTCAGACCTAGCGACAAGGCTGGCAGCGTAGTCTAGGCGACAGCGAGCAGCAAAGTCAACCAACTCAGCGACCAGAGCAGACGCAGCAGAGGACTCAAAGGTCGGGTCAGTGACAACTGTAGCGAGGAGACGCGTAACAGTGGGACTGGCAGCACGACGGGAGTCAGACTCCGGGTCAGGAAGAGTAGGAAGAGAGGACGCAGGAGGAGACGGCAGCGGGACACGCTGCGGAGCAGTGGAGGGACGCAGAGTCATGTAGTGAGTGCCTGGGACAGGAGGAGGACGCTCACGTGGGACACGACGACCAGTGCGAGCAGTACGAACAGGCGACGCAGGACGAGACTCAGGCTCACGACGCTCTGTAAGACCTCCTGTGGGACCAGCGTAAGGGGAGGGAGCAGGGAGAGGCGAGGCAGGCGGTAACTGTGACTGCGGCTGGACAGGCAGAGGACACTCGACGGAGGGAGGAGGACTAGGAGGAGGAGCCTGACCAAGAACCTGCTGAAGGAGCGGTACGAAGTACGGTCGCGGCCGCGCAGCGTCTCCAGAAGCAGCAGGGACACCAGTGGCAGCCCCAACGCCCGAGTCCTCAGCACCAGCAGCAGCTCCAACGCCCGGGTCCTCAGCACCAGTAGGAGCTCCAACGCCCGAGTCCTCAGCACCAGCAGCAGCGCCACCGGTCGGGTCCTCAGCACCAGCAGCAGCTCCAACGCCCGGGTCCTCAGCACCAGCAGCAGGGCCACTGGTCAGGTCCTCAGCACCAGCAGCAGCGCCACCGGTCGGGTCCTCAGCACCAGCAGCAGCTCCAACGCCCGGGTCCTCAGCACCAGCAGCAGCTCCAGCCCCCAGGTCCTCAGCACCAGCAGCAGCTCCAGCGTCCGGGTCCTCAGCACCAGCAACAGCACCACTGCTCGGGTCCGCACCACCAAGTTCGTAGAGAACGAGGGGAGGTAGAGACCTGAGAGCGTGCCGGACGGAACCGCTGGACACGGAAGTGTAGTGGAGGAGGTCGCAATGACCGGACCCCCTGAGGGGTCAGCAAGAGAGACAGCAACTGGCCGAGCGAGTGGCTCAAGGACAGTGCGGTCACGAAAGAAAGAGCGAGAAGCACCTGAGTCCAGTGTGAAGGTGTGCAGTGCTGCAGTCGACTCAGTACCAGGGGGCACAGACGCACTAGCACCTAGGGCAGCAGCCTCACCATCACCTGGGGTAGCAGACACGCGAGCACCTGGAGCAGCAGACGCACTAGCACCTAGAGCAGTAGGCTCACCAGTATCTGGAGTAGCAGACACGCGAGTACCGGGAGTGGTAGCCTCACCTGCTCCGAGGGCAACAGACGTACTGGCACCGAGAGCGGCTGCCTCACTCACAGAGCGACTACCACTACGGCCACCCCGACTGCTCAAACCGGCGTACCACTCACGAGCCTGCTGGAGCAGAAGAGGGCACGGCTGCTGCACCTGTCCACTACCGGAGCCTCCCGAACGACGGACGCCAGAGCGACTACCACTACGGCCACCCCGACTGCTCAAACCGGCGTACCACTCACGAGCCTGCTGGACCAGAAGAGGGCACGGCTGCTGCACCTGTCCACTACCTGAGCCTCCCGAACGACGGACGCCAGAGCGACTACCACTACGGCCACCCCGACTGCTCAAACCGGCGTACCACTCACGAGCCTGCTGGACCAGAAGAGGGCACGGCTGCTGCACCTGTCCACTACCTGAGCCTCCCGAACGACGGACGCCAGAGCGACTACCACTACGGCCACCCCGACTGCTCAAACCGGCGTACCAC